AAAAACTGATCAATTTAAACTTAAGCTATCCTTGTTTCATAGTAAATTATGACAACAATCTGACATGCAACAAGAAACAGAGATATGCTCTCTGCCTCCTTGGCTCAAGGTTATATCAAATATCAAAGTTGACGTAGAGATGAAAGGGCTTGGCTTGTGTTTCTTGAGATTCGGTCATGTATTGGTTCCTGTCGGTAAAACTACGGATCAATACGCTTCAACACCCGATAGAAACTCAAATGTAACAAATCACAAGTGGTAGTGAAGACTTTTATGAACATGAATATACCTGTGTCGGAAGAATGCCAATTCTTGATCCAGTGATGGTTTCATACAAGAAAATGTACCTGCATTGTCATGGGTTGTTGTCCCATCAGTTCTTATAACCAAGACAACTTGCCAAGCTAACAGAGCCCATCGAATATCTAATCTCAGAGCCTAAAGAGTATATACGGTCAATGTTTCTCCCATTCGAAACAAGCTATAGAGCAAGCCTATAATAGAGTTTTTACACATTAAACTACATACCGCCACGCTAATTCAGTTACAAGTTCTTCTGGAGCAGCGGGCAGGACCTGACAAATACGTACATCGAGACACCATTAATTTTAGCAGAGAATCTCAGATAAAGCAGGGAAAAGCTAGAAATTACATTCTGAAGATGTATACCTCGTCCTCGTAGGGATTGCAATTCTCTTTGAACCACAATCTTAGGAACTCCTGTTTGGATAAAACAATCAGCGAACATGTGATGGCAAAGTCTCCAACCCAATGAAATCTGACTTGAGCTGTACGGTCTAAGCGCAAAAAAGGAAAAATCACTCACCTTATCAACATTTTCAGGCTCAAGGCCTTTCTGGAAGCGCTCTTCATATGAACCCGCAAGCCAGTATCTGCTTGAATCCGGCGTATGAATCTAATGCAATGTGTACAAGTAAATGATACTAATCAGTGAATTTGGTAGTTGTGCAGATTTGTGCCCAACTGTGGATTCAAAGAGAGATGGCAGGGAAACAAGTACAAAATGAAACTAACCTCATCAATCAATAAGATCGAGCCATCACTACTTCTTCCAAACTCATATTTTGTGTCCACCAGTATCAGTCCGTGCTCCTTGGCGACCCGCTGAAGAAATCATAATATGTTTAGAATCTAAAAGACCTTCCAACAAAGCACAACATTTGAGTATTGAAGCAAACAATATATATAAAGAATCTGATTTCTAGTGGTCTGCAATCATAAGATTCTCAAAACCATTATAGTCTATGGCTTTAGACAGAGAAGTTGTAACTAACCTGCCCAAACTCAAACAAGCTCAAAGCTTTCATACTTGCTTCGTCAAATTCAGCTTGAGTCATGAATCCACCTTCAACTATCTACAAGAATCATTCGACGGATTAGAAGCAACACAGAACTAAACAACTTCGGGTCAAATTCTTCTCGTCTTACAGCTAAAGCAGATCACTGAGAAAGCAAACTAGAGACTAAAAAATGTTCCTTTCACATTTTGTGGTTTCTACTTTATATTTTCTCTGTGACAGATTATTAGACCTCATTTGGAGTGATGGGCACATCATGATCCTCAGCCTTAGTTGTTGGAGTAAGTATATTAGCTGGAAGCTTCTGGTTTTTTACCAATCCTGAAAAGTATAGTAATCAGTATATCGATGATCTTCTTAGATGTACTGAAAAAAGAAAACAACTTATAAATGGCGACAAAAGAAGCTATACCATCTGAGAGCGCATTCCCACAATAATTCCTAACACCTTTCTTGTATACCGTCCATAAAGACGTGTCAGTACTTCCAGTCACATATCCTCTAACTACAAGCAACATAATATAGGAAAAAAAACAGTTTAGAACTAAAGCAAAGAGAGGCCTCATAGGGAAGCCTCTGACAAGGTACTTGGAATTTAGATTGAAACACACACTAACCCACAAACTCTATGGGAAAAACCGAGCATTTCTTTGCAATAACAACATTTCTGTCAGGAGATGAAACAATTGCATTTGGAGTTATGTGTTGTGTGTTATTGAACCACCACAAACTGGTCTCGTTAAGAACCTGCAAGTTAAGCAGCACAAACCTATTATTTGTCTGCAATACTTTAATCTATCCAACTTGAATGTACTTGCAAACATGGAGAAAAACAAACCTGGCCTTTGAAGGGAATCAAAGCAAGATTTCTGTCGAATGCACTCAACCGATCAGTTGTAATTAGAACCAGATAATCACCAGCATCGTAAATATCTCTGACCTGAAAAATTGTGGTAAGTCCTCAATTACCATTGCTTGGTTTAGCATTGGTCTTTGTAGACAATAATGGACTCAGAAAGGAAACACCACTAACCTTGCCCTTGATTCTAGATTTCAGACCAGGAACAGTGGCTAAGAGATTGGTATCAGAGAGACAGTTAGAAAGCGAGTCTTTGATTGTGCCAAGAACCTCTCCTCTACGGTTACTCGTGACTAGATCATCAAGAGACAATTGTTTCGGTCGTTGCTCTTGCTGATTTTGGGAGTTGTCAGTGCAAGACATAACTAATGAACAAGGTTTAGGGTATTTCCTGAACTCCGGGACTGTTCTAAGGAACGAGACTGATCCAAAAGTTTGGTTTTTTGCAGACACTGTCACACTGTGGTGCGTTCTCAAAGGAGTTAGAGTTGACCTTACACACTGAGCCATTCCAGAAACAGACCCTACACTCCTGCACCAGAAGCAAAACCAAAACCTGAAATTGTTATACGATACTGAACCCCATTTCAATAGCAGCCAAAGCTAGGGTTTTCAGTCCAGTATAGACTCTTGAAGGGAAAGGGAAGCCAGAGCGAAACGAGTCATAACCGAACCTAACACAAAACCCATTAATATGTATGTGAGAAAGGAAGAAAGCCAAAACCTTTAACCAAAATAAGCGAAACCCTCCCGCAGAAAATTATAGCCGGAGAAGGAACAAGAGAAGCCGGCGGCGAGAATAAGGGGAACAGTGAGTCCGAGCCAATGTTTGCGTTTGCGTTTAAACCGTGTAAAATGATTCTTTTTTTTTGTTTTTCCTCACTTATCAAAATATTGTTTTATTAAGAAAAATAAATTTATAAGCAGAAAAAGAGGAAACTCGTCTTTGTCCTCTCGGAGATCAAGATCCGTCACCGTCACCTTCAAAATCTGTGCTTTACATTCACCAAGTTCGCCTGAAAACCAAAAGGTTTAACCTTTGTTTAAAGTTTATGAAACCCTCGACGGAGATGCCAATTTAGAGACAGAACACATGAAAGAGAAGCAGAGAGATATGGCGAGGCAAGGGGGGAAGCAGAATTGTGGTCGGATTGTGTTAGTTTCATGCCTCGCGCTTTTAGCCGCCGGACTTGTTGCCGACTTCCTTTGGGCTTCTTCTCACCGCTTCTCCTCCGTCGGAATGTCTCTTCCCTCCTCCGTTACCACCGTGATTGGACAACTCCCGCCTAAATCCGATGTAAGTGTTTCGATTTGGTCTCTTGTTAATGCCTCTTATGTAAAATTAGATCTCAAACAAAACAGAACTAGCTCAGATATCACTTCTTGTGTCTGCTCATTTATGGCTAAGAAGGGAATGACTCTCTCTTTGGTGGGTTTCAGGATAGTAAGAAGAAGAAGGACAATGGTCGAGAAAGGAAGCTCTCTGCAACGTTTCAAGATTTGGCTGCTACTGAACTAGAATGGGAGAAGATGGCAGCTGCACCTGTGCCTCGTCTAGATGGAGCTGCAATACAAATTAGGAATTTTCTATATGTATTTGCTGGATACGGCACCATTGATCTTGTAAGCCTCTACTTTTATTTTCGATTAGTAGCATTGTGTGAATTGAGCCGATGTTGATTTGCTTTCGATATTCAGGTACATTCCCATGTTGATATATACAATTTCTTAGATAATACATGGGGAGGGAGATTCGATATGCCAAAAGAGATGGCACATTCACATTTAGGGATGGTAACGGATGGGCGGTACATCTACATTGTCACTGGTCAATATGGTCCTCAATGCAGAGGACCTACTGCTAAAACATTTGTGCTCGACACTGATACAAATACGTGGAGTGACTTTATTCCTTTACCAGTTCCTAGGTAGGCAATGGGATTACGTTTAAGGATTATATACCATTCCTAGAGATGATGTTCAGATTGGAGAAATGGATATTTAGAAACTTGTATATTATTTTGCTGCTCAAGATTGCTATTCTCTGTGATCATGTTAGATGTTAAGAGAAATTGAGTGAAAAAGGTTTATTTACATTCCAGGTATGCTCCAGCTACTCAGCTATGGAGAGGTAGACTCCACGTGATGGGTGGAAGCAAGGAGAATCGACATACACCAGGACTTGAACATTGGAGTATTGCAGTTAAAGATGGGAAAGCATTGGAAAAAGAGTGGAGAAGTCAAATTCCAATCCCTCGTGGAGGACCTCACAGGTTATTATCATAACTCTACTAAAAGCTGTTGCTGCTAATCCTTATAGCTCCATACACCATCCTCCATTTGATATGGGTTTGATTGTTCTGTGACTGTAGAGCATGCGTAGTAGTGGATGACCGGCTTTTTGTCATTGGTGGTCAAGAAGGTGATTTCATGGCTAAACCAGGATCTCCCATCTTCAAATGCTCACGTCGAATGGAGGTAGGTTTCCAATGGAATACCTATTTAACTGAATATCACGACTCCTCTTCTATGGGTGCTATTTTATGAACGTCGTGTGTGTCCTTTCCTTCACCTCGGTGGTTCAGGTGGTATTTAGTGATGTCTACATGCTGGATGAGGAAATGAAGTGGAAAGTTATGCCATCGATGCCAAAACCTGATTCCCATATTGAATTCGCTTGGAAAGTGGTTAACAACTCCATTGTAATAGTTGGAGGCACCACAGAGAAGCATCCTGAAACCAAGAAGATGGTTCTCGTGGGGGAAATCTTCCAGTTCAACCTGAATACAATGGTAAAATCTCCATGTCTTGCATTCATAAAACCTATTAAGCCTGTTAATAAGTGGACACAGTAGCTGAGTTTTTTTCTCTACAGAAATGGTCTGTGATTGGAAAGTTGCCATACCGTGTGAAGACTACGTTGGTTGGGTATTGGGATGGGCAGTTATACTTCACCTCGGGGCAACGAGACAAAGGTCCTGATGATCCCGCACCACGCAAGGTAATGGCAGAGATGTGGAGAACCAAACTGATACTGAATCCATGACCAGGAGAAGAGAAAAGCAATCAGAATCTCCCTTTGGTAATGCAAAGTCACAACATTCTTTTTAAAGTTCATATTCTTTGAGCCTAACTCATCCCACTAGACAAACTAATGCTATATCTACCTCTATCTTCTGTATTGATGAGGGAATTTGTATATTGTAAACTAAAAAACAGAAGTTATGAAGAAAAGTTCAATTTTCAACACATTTGTCTTCTGTTTCTCCTCAACCCTCACAGGCCCACAAGCCCAAAGTACAGCTGGACCTGGGACGGAGTACACAATAGACGCATGTGACGTGCAGCACAAGCGACCGATTAGGGTGTACTCTCGTGTTTCTTTCAAAACCCTACATATACCATTGAAACTTTTTGACAAAGATTTTCAAATAGCAATGATGAAGATGAGTTCAATTTTGTTTAAGAGAAACACAAAGTTCAAAAAAAGGCAGAAGAGAAACACCGTAGATCTTCCGGAGGATTTGCTAGTTGAGATACTCTCTAGGGTTCCGACGGCTTCTCTGGCACGATTCCGATCAATATCCAAAGGGTGTAACGCTCTGATCAAAGATTGGAGATTTGCGAAGAATCACTCTGCTAATGCACCAAGGCAGTCTCTGATTATCACGTTGGCTGATTTTAGGGTTTCTCTGGTGAGTTTCGATCTCAATGGAATTAACAACAACAACAAGGGTGCTCCATCTGCAAAAGTAACAAGTCAAATTAGTCTCAAAGATCCTCTTTCTAATTCTTTGGAAGATCAAGTCGATATACACAACGTTTTTCACTGTGACGGTTTATTGCTATGCACCACCAAGGACAATAGACTTGTGGTTTGGAATCCATGTTCAAGGGAAACCAGTTGGATCCAACCTAGAAACTCCTACAAGAAATCCGACTGCTATGCTCTTGGTAGATCCTCATGCAACAAGTACAAAATCTTGAGGCTGGGTCATCATAGAATAAATCCATGGTGGGGGCTAGTTGAGTACGAAATCTATGACTTTACCTATAATTCGTGGAGGGGTGTTGGTGAGACTAATGACTGGTACATTCCAGTGTTCTGGCGTTGTGGCATGTCTGTGAATGGCAATACTTACTGGCTTGCTAGTAGTTATAGTAACAACAACTGTGTAAGTGTGGACATCATCATAAGCTTTGATTTTTCAACCGAGAGATTAGGAAGTGTGCCTCTTCCGGTGATCAGCTTTCTTATAATGATTTTGCTTTATCAGTGACTAGCGAAGAGCATAAACTTTGTCTGATAGCTCTTCGTGGCTCTGAGATATACGATATAGATGTATGGATGGCAACTGAGATTGATCAGAGTACCGGAGCCGCGTCATGGAGCAAGTTACTAACAGTGGAACGAGATCTATACCAACATTATTTTAGGTTTTGTAATGGGATGGATTTCTTTTTCGACCAAGAGAATAAAGTTTTGGTGTGTGGCGGTAATCATGGGCAGTCTAACAGCTTATTACACATTTTGGGACAGGATAAATACATACCAGTGGATCATCATGAAGTAGGATCTAAATTATCACTTCTCGTGAGTTATGTTCCAACTTTGGTTCAAATCCAAGAAGAAGGTTCTTTAGGGGTAGGCACAAGGAAAGCACCAAAGACGTGATTTTGTAATTGTCACACTAGTTTATGACTTGATATTTGATAAGATGTATATGTCTTGCTACGTTGTATATGTTCTTCATCATAAAAATGCTTCTACTTATGTGAATGATCCAACGACTTGTAGTATGAGTGTGTAACCTTATATTTTTGTTACAAGTTGATCTTTATATATGTCATTTGTTTGATCTATGGTTATATTTTTGTGTTGCATAGTGAGACATGGATCATCTAGACTCCAAGTTTATATTTTTCTAGATAGATTACATATGGTGTACTTGTCCCATCCAAATTCACAGTGTATAGAATAGAGATCAGCGTTTGGGATTTGCTAATTGTTAAAAAAAATATTGATTAAAAAGGTCATTTTATGTAATGGTTTGTGATCCCATAAATCTCAGAACGGGCTAAATGCCTCAAACGTAAGGTCATTGCAGAGATGCTGATGAGAAGCAAATTGAATCCATGATAAAGCCAAACAATCAATCTCCCTTTGGTAATACAAACTCGTACAACATTCTTTTAAAATTAATGTTTTCTTAAGCGTTACTCATCCCACTACACAAACAATTGCAATATCTATCCTCCGTGTTGATGGGGAATTTGTCTATTGCTGTAAACTAAAAATATAAGTTATCTAGAAAAGTTCAGTTTTCAACACATATCTCTGTGTGCTTTCAACTCACAGTTGTGTTCTGTTTATACTTAATCTCACAACATTCTCTCTTCTCAAAAGTATATATAATCTGAAATCTAGTTCAGCAAAGTGTCAACTTTTGCAATCACAAACTTTTCAACTAAAAACACAAT